TGTAAAGCGTGGCCTTCACTAAGGGTCTAGGTGTTGTCCCAGGAATTCAGTAGTAAAAGATCATCGCCTGGGATGACCACATATCATGCAAAGGTGGTAAAATGACATTCTGAACATGCTTGACCACCTCAATATTGTTCCATTGTGACCCAAGTTGCATCTGATCCACGGTGAGATTGAGTAGCGGGAGGGTTTGAGTGGATCGCCAAGACTTTCAAGCTTTTGGCATCTTCTCTAACTATCTACTTTAGGGGTGTGAGAGCATAAATTTTGACAGATCATCCGACTGTTTCTGCCTTGCCTTGACCAACTGCAAGAATGGTTCTTCCGGGCCAACTGAGCCAACCAGAATATGCTCAGTGCCCGAAACAAGTTGCTTATATGTCTCATTGGTAAACGCGTCAACAGGCATCCCCATCGATCGACCTTTCTCCTCGCCCATGTAATCGTGCAATTCGGCTGGTGGTCTTGTCAGTATTGTCTTGGATACCACAAATAGCACATTTGACGACTGACTTTGCACTAAGGGAGGCCAGATCTCTATGATCTTAGTGCTAGACCCTTGTAGTTGTTGTCTCAGAGAGTAAACAAAGGCATGAAGAGCTGCCTTGGAAGCAGAGTATGCTGGTAAAGTCACTGCCGGAATCAGAGCAAGGTGAGTGCCGGTAATGATCAGACTTGTCGGCATTGCTTTCTCTTGAAGTCTCGGGAGGAATTTGACCGACATGTCGACAACGCTCAAGAAATTGACGTTTATCTCCTCCCGAAAGGCATCAAGATCAACACTGCTAGGTTCCGACAACTTGATCTGACTTTGGATTCCTGAGTTGATGAACACACAATCCAGATCGGGAAACTCATCAACAACCCTGTTAAACTGTTAGCATAGTAAGTCGCTAATGCTTGCCGTATGGAGGCATCAGGTCCGCAAGGCCTTTCTACGCTTCGGGTCAAGTACCCCATTCCGTGGTGGGGGAGGGGGCGGGGGCGGGGAGCTTGTGGGCAGTAATTTTCTGCACTTGGGACTGACCTCTTCACAAAATCATCGAGACCTGCCCTATCTGTGATATCGAATCGGACAGAGGCTGCCTTGCTTGAGCCATGCTTCTTGACAAATGCATCTAGTCGTTCCTGGCGCCGACCGACAGCGATGACTTTGACACCGTTTTCGACAAGCTTATCCGCCGTTGCTGCTCCGATGCCCGATGTGGCACCTACTAGAAGTACTTGCTTATATAGGAATGACATGTTAGGCAGAGAGTTGAGTCGTTGGTTCGAATGGTGAAAGCCGCTGAGACGTGGCAAGATGTCTACTGAGTGAAGTGGCTGAATCGCTGTCGTTAGCATATCCTGATGCCGTGTGATGCCACGCTATATGCTTTATATTTCAACCTCGTCGATATCCATCAAAAAATTGAGATCGATATTTCCGAATCACGAGACAGCTTGCTCCCGGCGCTAGGGCCGGTGTTTTGTGGCGTTGAGATCGCTGGGATTTGGACTGTTGGCGGGCAGGCGTATACAATCATCGGGATTACAGAAGTGTTTTTTACCTAAAGCCGAGCGACCAACCCTTTTTTTCTGATGTCTGGTATGTCCGAGACACGAATCAACACCGATGCTGTTTGCCGTGGCCCGGGCTTACAACTTGAACAACGACGTCAAAGAAAACAGCGGATTGCTAATCATCTCCTCGCAGCTGGGGTATTTGAAGTTTAAGTCTATTATCTTGAGAAATCTATACGTCTAGGGGGTATATCTGCACCCGCAAAATCGGGGATGGCCATCTCGCGTCATCATAGTGCAAGCACTCTATCTATTTCTCAGCAACAATGTACTCCGTGCAAAGGAGCTCGGATCTCAGATCCATCACATCAGCGATAGTCTTGTTGGGAATGATCTCAGCCATCCACAAGACGTGGTTCAAGGTGGTGTCGTTGCCTGCATCACCGTCGTAGTCGAGGTAGGCCGCAGAAGGCGTGAGCCAGCGGTTTTGCTCCATGATGAAGGTGGGAGGGATGAGCTGACCGCTCATATCCGTGAGGCGCGAAGAAAGGTTCGCGAGTTGCCAATCCCACCAGAGGCGATCCAAGTTGGCATGGTGCAGGAAGAAGATCGGGTCACCGGGGCTGGCGTTCTGGTTCTCCATCTATTGCAGGCGTTAGAAATACAGCCGAATACTGAAACGATGGGGTTACTTACGGTGCCGCCAGTAGCAAGGTGACCACAGGAGTGAGGAGAGTCAACGTAGCAGAAGTTGGCTTCGTTGTAGGTCTCCTTTACATAGCACTCGTCGACGTAGGACTGGTTGGCGAAAGTGAACGCAGTCTGGTTGAACTCACGAGAGAGGCAGTACTCGTCATAGTAGTCGATGCCATAAACTTGGTCCATGCGAAGGGTGGTGTTGGCGAAAGGGCCATCGATGACGCAGTTGGTGCCTTGGGTGGTGTTGACACCGTTAGTTCCGAAGCTGAACTCGTCAGAGCCCCAAACAGAGGCCTTCTCGACGGTTCCAAACACTTCAAGATCGCGCTGCTCGTCCCAATAGGGAAGAGCACCAGTGTACCCGCACTCCTCTTGGAGAAGGATTTCGTGGAGACGAAGGAAGAGGCGGTGCCAGGGAAGGAAGGCTCTGAATGTGGAATTAGAAAAACGACTCGAAATTGGCTTTCCAGAAAGCTTACCCAACTCCGTGAATGAAGTTCGACTGTTCGACGTGACAGCTTTGAAGTTCATCCCATCTTGTCTTCGCACCCTTGATGCCTGTCTTGGCGGGTGATTCGAATAAGCATTTGACGGCCTGAAGGTAGTCGGATTTCTCCTGGTTTTCTAGAGTGTGCCTGATTATTCATGTTAGTATCTTCATGGAAGAAGTGTCTAAACAATAGGGTGATGACTGACCATGCCTTTCTCTGGTTCATAGAAGTGCAAGTAGAATTAGAGAAGGTTCCATTGTGGCCGTTGTGACCATGGGCGGGAAAGACAGGCGATGCGCTAGCGAAGGCAATGGCCGAGGCCAGGCTGAAAAGAGTGGACGACTTCATGTCGATCAGTGAGAGATAGGCAGTTCTGGAAAAGATCTGCAGGAAAAGCGACAACTAATGTGGTGAAGAGCAGAGTCTATTGTTCTTATGCTTTGTAGCAAAGGGAGACAGGTTTCACTTATACTGACAGCACGACCTTGCCAAGACCTCGGGATCTCCCTAGACTCCTCCTAAGATAGGAGTCCAAGGACCCGGAGTGGAAATTTTCGAATTCAAGATTCTTCAAGCTCCGAAGAACAAATATCCACCAGCTACGCAAAAAGTTGCGACGGCCCTACGAAAGAAGCCGCGCATGCGGCTTGGGGATCCGCTGACCCCATCGTAAACTTGGCGATGCTTGAGATAAAGATTTGCCCCCCGGCGTCTATTCGTCTCGAGTTGCCCATTCGGTGGATGCCGGACAGGGGTGTCAATGATGCAGCGTTCATCCAAAGGTAAAAATCTTAGCATGGAAGTCGACCGAGGCCCGATTTGCCTATCCGTAATCTATGTCTTGTGGGCCGTGATGGATACTAAAAAACCTACTGCTTCCCTGACAGCATCCCACCTGGCATCCCACATACCGAGGGTCTGGATCCGTGGATACAGTGGAATGGTTTATTGGACGAATGAAAGTTTCAAGCACAAGACAAGCACATGCCGACTTACGAGTTGGGACGAACATGCACAGCCGCCGGAAAGATAAAAAGGGTCATCGGGTCCGGAATCCCACCTTCGGCTTGGGGCAGGTCCGAGACTCCATCCCAGCCGGCAACGGCGACGGCGGCCTTACCCAGTCCCCCACGTGGCGTAGCTGACGACGAAAACAACATGGAATCAGTTCCAGTGATGATCAAGGAAGGAAAAAGCAACTCCAGAACAAGTGAAACGGCAGTCTGACCCGTGTTGGCAACGGTGTTTATCGGAGACCGAGTCAGTACTTGACTCGTTGTCGACAGGAAAAAAGAAACAAGCAACAAGGCATCCAACATCGGAGATTCCTCTTCGAAACAAAAGTCCGATCCATGTACGATTCGCCCTTCGACTGAGAAAGCTCGATAGCAGCTCAGGAACTCATGACATTTTCAAGATGACCTTGGGCTAAGAACCACACGTATCAGTGGTAGCGCCATTGAGAATAATTTGGCGATTCTTTGAAATGTTATATTGGGTAGTTATTGAACAGGTAAAGTACCTGGCATGCGTTCATAGATTTCACATGCAGTATGGTATCTTAGTATTCGAGCCGCAAGTGATGTTGTCTTTATGAGGCTCTTATCACAGTTTTTACATTGCCACGGAATGTGGTAGGGGTAGGTTATCATCACAGCAGTGACTTGAACCGGGAGCATAGTGGATAGTTTCGTCATATAACAGTGAAAGTGCAACCAGCCCAGCAGCGGCTGCAATCGAATGAAACTGTTTCAACAATGCCACGTTCTCGACGCTTACCAACGAAATGGAAACTGTTCTAGGATCAATAAACCAGTGGGGGCAAACGCCGCCGACCGAAAGTTAACGAACCTTATCCAAATCTAGGGGCGGACCGTGCTGTTGCACCCCAACTTGGCCGGCAAAGTCTTCCAAAATTGGCAAAAATGGGAAAGTGAAAGGCATCGCTTGCTTCATCTTTCGACACTTTGATTGGTCTTTCTTTCTTGTCTACTGTACGGTTGAAACTCAAAAGGATGGATCGCGTGTCTGTTCCGACCTCAAAACGCTTGGGTCTGAGGAGGACCTACACCCGTCTAGTGGTCTCTCCCTCAGGGTTACTCAGTTTATGATTTCACGACACCAATATGCTAGCACTTCCGACTTATCTAAGATATTACCGAGATTCGATTTTGAAAAGTCAGCACAAGTCTATATAGATCTATCTATGTGGCGTGCATGTTACCCCCAACTCCACGTGCACAATGCCCGATTCTGGCGAGGTAACGCCAAGACCCTTGACATGAAAGACGGTATGTAGTTGTCTTAACTCCTTTCTTCGTCAAGCAGATTTCTGATCATTCTGAGACAAGTGGGATGGTAAAAATCTTGATACTTCTTGAACAGCTCCAACGCCAACTCACCGTCAACCGACAACAATTCTTGAAATCTGTGAACTGTCAGCACTGGTCTTGACGTGCGCTTTGGTCGAGGCGACTCACAGTGGCCTCACAAACTTCATCCGGCCTGTCTGTCCTAGGACATCTTCAGTCTGCTTCAAAACACTGCGATCGCCGGCTTGGAGCGCGACACGAAGGTATCGAGTGACGATTTCAAGATTGGTAGACTTTCCCACGTCATACAATTCGTCAAGAAGCTTACAATGCTCGAGGGGGATTGGCTGCGGACTTTCAATGAGTAGATCAAGAAAGACCAAAACTTGTCCCGCTGTCCAGCCCTCGACATCGCTACCAGACGGCCTGAACGCAGATCGGACCGAGAGACTGCCCCATTGATCTGCCAATTCAATGGCCTCCTTGTAAAGTCCAGAGCTAAACTCTGGCTTTGGGGGCGCGCCTGGTTTGTGAAACCAAGAATTCCAATCAACGCGGCCAAGTGAAGAAGTAGCAGCGGCGTCGGGTGAGAAGAACTTGAGAACACAATTCTTGAATTGCGATGAGTCAACCGCGGCACCGTAAAACGTTCTGAAATACTTAAGTGATGAAGTGTTAGTTTTCAAACTGTACGCGGCAAAACGGTAAACTTACATGTGGCACAAACTTGAGCCACTTCTCTCGTCCGACGGTCTCTTCAAGGTAGCATAGGAAGGTGTAGCCTTTCTCGTACGAGATCTTGGACATGATATCGTCCGGTCTCTTGCCTTCGAACTCAAGTACCAAGCTAGTGAAGATACTGTCTTCGCCGCCATACATTTCAATAGATTGAATAAGGTCCTGCCAGCCAACGATGGCTTGTAGCTCGACCTCATCGTCCCCTCTGAGCTCGCGCACAATGTTCCTCTCAGTCCAGACAGTCCATCCTTCATTCAGCCAAAAGTGCTCCCAGGACGCATTGGTGACAAGATTGCCACTGTAGCTGTGCGCGAACTCGTGTGCGACCACAGAGATATTCTCTCGGTCTCCCGAGACGACAGTGGCGCTGTAAAAGTTGAAGATTGGGTTTTCCATCCCGCCCAAATGGAATGATTTTGGCAACACGACCAGATTGTAAAGTGGCCACGGATACTCGAAGATGAGATTCTAAGACGTCGCAATTATGTCAGCTGAAGGCTTTTACTGCTCTGACTCAGCTACTTACCTCTGCAGACTTGATTATTGCCTGTAGATCCGGTTGAAACTCCTGTTTGCAAGCTTCCAAGTCATCAGGGGCGCAGTAAACATAGCTTTTCGGTCCAATCTTCTCTCCAGCCAAATTTCTTCAAAGAGCTGTATGAGCCATTGTATATTTGAGGATGTTCTTCATGGGACTTACCCGCTTGCTACGGCGAAGAGGTAGTTCGAGATTGGGATCTCCATCTTGAATCTGTAGGTTTTCTGTTCGGTCGTGGTCGTGATTGGTGGGAATATCAGCTCAGACTCAGGAACACCACTCGCTACGACAGGCAGTATTGAATGAATCGTTATATCGAAAGTGCTTTTGATGGAGGGTGTGTCCTGGCACGGGAAAATGGAGCGGGCATGAACCGGTTCGCACTGGGAGACTATCGACCATTAGCTGAGACCGACAAGTCGTAATGCAGCCTAACACTCACACATGAAGGGGTATTGTTTATCATCTGTCTGCGAGGGCCTGAACCACTGAAGGCCAGTGGTTTTCTCGGTAGTTTCGAAGTCGACCTTGCCAGCGACTAAATTAGCCAAATCCATCATTAATGATACGGCAAGATTGGCAATTCAACGTACTGTGAGCTCAATCGTTTCCCCTTCCCCATAACTTCGTCCAAGTTCAATGCATAATGGACTGCCATTCTCTCCATCGTCGGACCTCAATTTCCACACAGCCTTTCCCCCTTGATAGCTTACTCCTTTGATGGCGACATGGCTTGTGTCTAGAACAATTTCGGCGAGACCATGGACTCGTACTTGACCAGTAATTGCAGTTCGACCAATCAAGACCTTACGGTCAAAGTCAATCGTCAAGTCAAGGGCTGTATGCTGGGTCGAAAAGTCTTGAAAATTGGAGCTAGTGTTGACATCTGTGACAACGTTGGATAAACACATGGTGAAAATGCGAGCGAACGTCGTCCACGCGTGGGAAGAGAAGCTTGGCTGCTATTTGTCAGAAAGAGAGACTGGCGACCAGGCCTATTACTATTCCTGCAAGCGAATGAAATCTTGAATTTGAATGATTCTAAGTAAGGTAATCGTAGACGTGATTCGGGTGCTTAACTCAATCGTGCCCCGCATTCTTCCCTGCCCCTCACCTGTCGTTCAATATTGCCTATTACGGCAATCCAGTGCACCCCGCGCTAGCTGCTTCGCCTAGGTACTCGCAGAGACACGATAGCAGGAATTGGCTCGTTCAAGTTTACCGTTTGAGGCCGTTGCGTAAGGAAGCCTAAACACAGAATGCAGCTCATCGTTATCTCTGGCGGCTAATTACAAATTTTGTTTGCTTTGACGCCAGAAATTCGTGACCTCTTTGAGATAAGCTCCGTAGAGCTTGATGGCGTTGATGCTGTTGATGAGAGATTTAGCCCCTGTGGAACTCCAAATCTTGATGCTGCGTATCGACTTACTAGTTGCTCTTATCCAGCTTCTCGTTAGTGGAATGTTGTCCATCGGTAGGCCTACCAACAGGCATAAGGAGCACATTCTTCTTCAAGGTCTTCTTGAAGTCCAAGGCGATGGGGATGCTGGGTAAAGTTAGTGCCGGCCTATCACGCTGGGGATCGATGTAAAGGCTAACCTTCCACCCTCACAGGTCAAAGCAGGGTCAACACCCCACACGTTTCGTGTTGCCTGGATCGCGGCTTGGTAATTCCAGTGGCTCGCTTCCTCGTAGAACCAATCATTCGGATGACACTCAATTTCGAGGTCGTTCTTGCTTCCTAGACTCTCGAAACGGTCCTTGATGTGTTTTCGCACCAGCTGATCAATGTCCTCCCACTTCATAAAGGGCACAGTACGGATGCTGAACTTTCCGACGAGTTTAGCAGGTATAGATGTGACGGCCCCAGCTCCAGGCAGGGCGTTCTCTATCCTGTGCAGACTGAGAGATGGCTTCTTCCAGCTATGGAACAGAGAATGAGGTTAGCTTGCTGATATGAAGATGGAGTGCGGGTGAACGTACCGAGCGACCAGAGAGTCAGCCTGATTGTCATGGAGGCTTCGGCCCCCGGTGCCACCGTACAAAGAGTCCTCCGAAATGTTCAGCTTTTGGTAGCTTTCGTACTCTTCCTTCGTGACAGCTTGAACATTGTCGTATATCCCAGGTACCAGAATCTTGCCATTCGAATCCACCAAAGAAGACATGATGTTGACCATGTCAGTCATTGGCTCCGAGATTTGACCACCGAATCCGCCACTGTGGGCATCCACTTTGGCACCAGTGATGGTGACAAGGTAGAAAATGATGCCTCTAAGGCCTTGAGGGACGCTAATCTGCTCATCGCTCACCCAGACCACATCCGTGATGCAGACCACGTCGACGTCCTTGAAGTACTTGTCTGCCTCATCCTCCAGTCCCTGCCGAAGACCAAAGGACGCGGTCTCTTCCATGCCTTCAAAACAGAAGACCAAGTTTGCCGGTACGTCCACGTTAACCTTCTGGAAAGCTTCTATCATGTTGATCCAGCCAATGAGAGGGCCCTTGTCGTCCGAGGTTCCTCTGCCGCAGATCTTGCCGTCTTCTTCGACCGTCATCACGAAAGGCTCGTGCTTCCATCCGTCCTCGATAGATGCAGGCTGAACATCGTAATGGCTGTATACGAGCACTGTTGGCTTTTCGGGGTCGCTCCCATAGCGTCCCAATACCAGGGGAGGAAGATCGAGGTCTGTGCCCTCCTGCTTGCCCAGGTCTTTGAGTGTTACATCAACACCAACAGCCTTCAGCTTGGTCGCAACCCATTCACTCATCTGCTTCTACATTAGATATTGCTATCTCTATGCCTTGATGGCTTATGGCTTATTCGCCTTACTCACCGCGAACACATCCTTCCTATTATCTGCATAAGCCGAGATTGAGGGAATCTTGATGGCATCTCCGAGTCCTACGCGAAGTCAAACTTAACTAAGTACGGTCCTTTCAGCCAAAGCCATGAGCAACTGTTTGGACGTACTATCGATGAAGACACTCTCAAGCTCATCAACCCTGTCATTCAGATTAGCGAGGCAAAAGTGTAAGGGTGTCTCTCATTTTCAACGCACTTTGCATAGAAGCTAGCCAGTGCTTCATTGGTATCGTTCACCGGGCGTGCCGGGGTAGGAACCATCGTGGCGATAGAGGCGACGTCCTTAGTCAGCAAAGAACTGGCTTTTCGACTACAATCAAGCTTCTCTTAGCACTATCGCCAGCTGCAATGATTGACTCTGGGCGCTAATTTTGGTGTTGAAAGAGGGGAAGTTGGGCTTTCCGAGTCGAGTCTAGTCGCACCGAGACCCACGTCAAGCGAGATCGGATTACGAGTGATGCAGCGTGGGGGCCGATACAAAAGTCCACTTCTAAATACTACCGAAAAAGGAAATTGGGAACGAGGGGAGCTGACTTACACGAGATTAGTCCTTAGCATGAGAAAGGGCACGTATGGCAGAATACGACGAGATCTTGCAGTCTGGTGCAATAAGTCCCATGCAAAGAATCGAATTTCCACTAGTTGGGCTTTCCTTTCTTCCTTGATGTTACCATTCATTTAGGCACACTCAACTTTACCAAACATGCAGCAAAAACGCAAGATCCTCGTAATTGGCTCGCCTCGCGACGTCATACCTGACAAAGTATGGGCAGATTTCAGCTCACGATACGAAACACTGATGTACGACTATCCAAAAGTACAAGACTTCTACCAGTCCATGACTTCCGGCACTTGCAAGAACATTGACGGAATCATGCGAATCGGCATCAATACTCCGCCCGACAACGAGAAATTGGGCATGGGCTGGACCAGACGGGCTTTGCCACATCTCCCATCAACCCTCAAGATGATTGTCAACTTCGGACATGGTTTCGACGAAGAAGATGTTTCGGGACTCAACGCTCGTGGCATAGACTTCTTTAACACAACGGGCGGGAGCGAGGCGACAGCCGTTGTTGCGATGTATCTCATCATCTCGGTATTCCGTCAGCTAAATCACTACGAGCGGATGCTGCGCGAAGATCAGTTCTGGCCGGCCTTGAGGCATTCGTCTCAGAACGCAGTTGATCCCTTCGGAAAGAAGATCGGCATTATCGGCATGGGTTCTATTGGTCGGACCGTCGCAAGGCAGGCAACTGCTCTCGGAATGGAGGTTCACTGCATTGATAGGCCCAATCTTCGGAGAACCTTGGAAGCAATGAAGCATGAGAACGAGTACGTCAAGGGGCTTTTGCCACCGATACTATTTCACAGGGATCTTGCGGGTCTCGTTGCTTCCGTGGACTGCTTGGTTCTGGCATGCTCTTACTCTCCGACGACACATCATCTCTTGTCGAAGGATGTCTTCTCCGGAATGAAGAGAGGAATTCGAATCGTCAATGTTGCCAGGGGTCGTTGTATAGATGAGGAAGCCCTATGTGATGCCATCGACAGCGGCACTGTTGCAGCGGCTGGGCTGGATGTTCATTACAACGAGTGAGTTTCTGATCTGCCAGTTTCCTCATACTGCTTGTGCAAAGCTAACACTTGTAGACCAAACGTAAACCCGAGATTACTGAAGCACGACTGCGTGACACTTTTACCTCATCTCGGAGGACTCACCCACGATTCAATGAAGGTAGGCACTTGAGCTACGTCCGTTGCAGTAAGATTCTTTTTGCTCACGACCAGACAGAACCATGCGTTGATGGCCTTGAAGTCAGTAGATGACTTCTTTGCGTGCTCTGAATTGACGTAAGGCGTTTCAAAGTCAGAACGGGGTTGGATAACTATGTGTGATAAGCGTAGTAGAAGATATAGATGATAATTAAATGCAGACGTATGATCAACATAAAGTAGCAAAGGGGGCTGGATAGAGATGAAGTTGTTTCATACTTGATTTTCACATGTAGTCCAGACCGCCAAACACCATATACCATTACAAATGTGCTGCTCACAATTCTCTTCCTTTTTTCTTGATTGATCATACAATCCCACTGCTGCATTGATAAGCGGCTAAGCTCGATCATTGGCTTGATTTTCCAGATCCTCCTTTGAGGGTAAGTGGCTGCACCGCTGCGGACTGTTAGAATACATCAATCAAGTAAGTGTGGTGAGAGGCGCACACATGATACGCATTAATCTGACAATAGTGATAGAAGGGCGTTCTGTCAGCTCTGAGTTCTATGTTCTCGGAGATCTAAGGTATGTGAGTAAACCGATTCCACCCCTTCTCTAACTACAACCACGCCTTCGTCTTTTCGTTTCATCTATAATTTGCTTCTATCAGTGAGACGGAAAATCCGTTCCTGAATTGCCTTTTACTGCTCAGCAACGACGTATCCCCATTCGTGCTCTACTCGGCCGTAGATGATATCCTCCAACCAAGACTTGATCGTGTTGGAGTACACAGAGCGCGGCGTCTTGTGCCCCTCTTGAGTAACCATCATGGGGAACTGAATCTCAACGTCGCCATACTTGATCACAGAGACCGGGGTGATGAACATCTGTAGATGATCCGTTAGCTAAGGGAGATCGACAAGCCGGGAGGGCACAGGTTGAACTTACCGCAGTGCCAGAGACAAATGCCTCCACCAGTCGACCTTCTTCGTACGCTTCCACAATTTCACCCATGATGAATGGACGCTCGACGACCTCGAGCGGGACAAGCTCAGTCTCAGCCGTCGACTCCCGCGTCAGTCTCTCTCTCGCAACCTCCAAAACGCTCCTTCGAGTGATACCATCGAGGATAACCTCCGTATCCAGCGAGCTAGTCACAAGCTCAATCCCTTCACCACCCTTCTTCTTCCACACAACAAAGAAATTGCTCGCCCCAGCCTCCGTAACAATCCTCTCCTCCCCAAACAACCACAACGTCTGCGTACACCCCTGCGCCTTAGCCGCCGCATGCGAAACCATGGCAGGCCCGTAATTCGCGCCCACCTTGGC